AAGACTCATGTCTATGAGAGAAAAAGGTAAAATCACGTTCATTCATATGTTGTGATCTCCAAACATCCACCAATTCCAGATCTTCCATCATTGCAGAGAAAGATTTGGGGAGTCTGGAAAGGGCCACGTCCCTAGAAGTTGATTTTTTGTCTTTTAAAGTATCAGGTACCCCATTCCAGTCTCCCATAACAATCAAAGAATTATAATCCATAGCCACAATTTTCTGGTGTAATTGTCTATAAAATTGCTTTTGAGATGACAGTTGATTGGGGACATAAACCCCCACTATTAAACACTTTCTTCCATTTAAATTTATTTCCACAAATAAAAATCTTCCTTCTTTGTCAGCTTCTTTTAAGACAGGTGAAAGATGTTTCTTTATGTATAATGCAACCCCAGCTTTTTTTTTAAGGGCAGGTGCAGCAAACAAGTCTCCAAGCTTGGAATTTAACAATAATTTTTGGTCTTTAACCACAATATGAGTCTCTTGTAGGCATGTAATATCATTATTAAAATGTCTTAAGTAATGAAAAACCTTACGTCTTTTGTGGGGTGTGTTAAGCCCTCCCACATTCCAAGATGAAATTTTAGTCATTAGCTGATTTCAGTCCTATAGCAATACTTGAAGCATAAGACTTGGCAAAAACCTTGGGTCGAGCGCCACCTACTGGCTCCGAAGTAGCAGATGTCAAACTATCAGCTGATGGGCGGGCTGTCAGTTGTTGTTCCTTTTCCTTACGTCTGTGGGCTGCTCGGGTCATCCTTTGTTCTTTGGCATCATCTTTCAAACGCCCATTTGCATCCTTAACACCGGAAGTAGAAGGGAGGTCCACAATCAAATGCTCAACTGTATCAGTCTTTTGGGTTGTAAGTGGACGCTCTACTTGCAACACAGACGCCATAAAGTCGTTCGCTTTTTTAATCGAATTAATTCTGTAGCGCTTACCAGCCACTGTTACAATTATACCCACCGGTATATCCCATCTGAAGATTATTTGCCTGTTCTTAAGTTCCTGCGCCAGAAAAGCATAATCTCGACGCGCCTTGAGTATTTTCGCTGGAATTTCTTTTAAAAGAATAATGTCTTGATTTAAAATCTTAAATCTTTGTTGATAGAAGAGCTGCATTATTTCATTTCTTCTCGCTTTCCTTGTAAAATAAACCACCACGTCTCTTGGCAAATTTTTCTGACGGGCCACCCAGGAATTTACCCTGAAAACACGTTNCCAAACTTTCCTCTACAAGTTCCAATCGTTGCACACTCTCTTCAGCCTTCTGTTCATTTTCCTCCACCCTTTCTGCCACCACGTCCACATATTCAGCTAAGCCTTGAAAAGCAGTTGTCACATTCATACGAAAGCCTTCGTGTTTCTGTAATAATTCTTGTTGTTGTTGTATTACTTGATCAAAGTTATTTTCCATTTTAACATTCATCTTTTGTATCATCTCTGTCAATTGCTTAATACTTTCAGTCATTAAATCCTGTAATTCTTTACCAGAGGGCGGTGGGGGTGAAGAAGATGGCGGGGGTGGCGGGTGGGAAGCCGGCTTAGAAGTTGGTTGAGGCGACTGAGAAGTCGGAGATGTAATTGACTTTAAAGTTGCGGGCGCCACTCTTTTCAAAGCCATATTAACAATTTGAAATTTCAATCAATATAAAAGTCTTTTAAACAACTAATCCACAACGAATAGTAGAGTTGCTAAAAATAGCAAAAGTTCCAGACCGGAAATGCAAATCACTTTCACTTCTTCTTGCTGAAAAGTATCAATCCATCGCCATTTTAAATTCACTTTCACTCAATCCACTCCAAGTATAGGGAAGATCAGAATATCCGAAGTTAGGGTAAAATCCAAAATAGGAAACAAACTTCCAGGGTCGGTTTGTCTGCATATAATAACTCACAGTTCAGTTTAAGTTGCAGCGGTGTCGGCGGCTTCTAGCTTCGCTGAAGCGAAGGCGTCCTGGATCGCGGAGAATCCTCGGGGCTCCGGAGGAGTTCTAACCTACATCGTCCACATAGGACGACTCGGGAACTCAACTCCTACCCCGGGCGGCTCACCGATCCCCTTATGCCCGGGGGAAAGGTATCAAGCCGTTTGACAGCTGATGCTTGCTGTCAAAACGGCTTTTACACGAAAACAGGCGGGAGGCAGCTGTCGGCTGCGTCCGACGAGGTCGCCTGCACACCGGAAGTCCCAAATAGATGCATTGTTACAGAGGATTTTACAGGTTAATACTTAGTTGAAGTATTAAGTATGAGCCATGGTGGTGCAGTGGTTAGAATGCAGTATTGCAGGCTAATTCTGCTGACTGTCAACTGCCACCAGTTCGGCAGTTCGATCCTGACCGACTCAAGGTTGACTCAGCCTTCTATCCTTCCGAGGTCAGTAAAATGGGTTGTTGGGCATAATATCATGATACTGTAAACCACTTAGAGAGGGATGTAAAGCACTGTGAAGCGGTATATAAGTCTAAGTGCTGATTCATATTTATGACAAGCAAAAGCAATGGGGAAGACAGATTCACTTAACAACGATGCTAGTAATTTAACAACTACAGTGACTCACTTAACAAATGTGGCAAGAAAAAGTCGTAAAATGGGGCAAAACTCACTTAACAAATGTCTCACTTAGCAACAGACATTTGGGGCTCAGTTGTGGCTGTAAGTCGAGGACTGCCTGTACTTTTTCTGAGTACTCTTTCTCTCTAACATTATTTTTGAACTTCTCTCCTGTCAATTTGAGCTGATGCCCCCATCTTCTTGATTTTTGCTTAATGTTGAACATACTGCCTTCTAAAATCTTATTCATAGCTTAATATATTTAAAGGTTTCAATAATGTCATCCATTTCCCTTCTGTTATCTAGGGCTGTACATATTTAGTTCCTCCAATCTCTTGTTATGTTTTGTTCCTCAGATCTTGTACCATTTTTGTTGCCCGTCTCTAGACTTGCTCAATCTTGTATCTTTTTTTAAGTGAGGACTCCGGAATTGGACACAGTATTTAGATATTTAGATGGTTGATTAGAATTGTGTGTGTATATATGTGTATATAAGGCACTTCTTAAATAATTTTTCATGTTTTCTATTTCATTTCTGTTCTGTTCTGTATTTTCATTTTTCTATCTCCTTTTCCCCTTCTCTCTTCTTTTCCTTTCTTTTTTTCCCTTTTGCATTACCTTTACTATGCTTTTTTCTTGAATGTAGTTCTTATTATGTCTGTAAATCTTTTAATGAAAACTAAAGAAAGGACAAAGATGGACTCTGTAACCGTTAGAATTCAAAACTGATATTGAACAAAGAGTTTTATTCTGTATGGTTTGCATCCACCAAATGACATGAACCAATTGCTTTAATACCATGCTTGCATTGATTTGAAAAGATTACTGCAGTCATAAAGATTATTGTGGGGGCAAATGTATTAACATCAGTGATTAAAAACAACAATGCCTTGAATGACAAGCAGGTTCCTCTGTTTTTGCCTTTAAGATGGTGTCACAACTAAAATGCAAGTTGGTTATAATAATTACACTTATAATAACTACACATTAGGTTGAATTAGTCTGCTCAGGATCATGTGGTGCACTCCAGATTTTATTTCTATTAAACTGGACAAAATAAACTTTCTTGCCTCTTCCAGTTCATCCAAATGCTAGCTTATTAATATTCCTACTTTCCCCTTTTGTTAACATGAGGCAGGTTATCCCATGCTGATCTTTCTTGCCTCCCCTCTCCCCCAAGTACTATACAGAGTTAGTCAATACTGACCTATTCCCCAGACCCACAAATTGATGCTTCAAAATCAGCTAAGGAACTTCTGCTTGTGGATAGCACCAAGGTGACTCATGATTTCTCTTAAAATTGGTCAATTAATGTTCTTGTGAATGTACTTGTGAGTGAAAAAAATGGTATACGGTTTCTCTTGCCCTTTCCTTCTTTGTGTACATGGAACCTTGACTCCAAGAATTCTTTTTTATTAGAGAAAATCTTAGTTTTTCAATTGCCATTCCCCCTCAGAACAACAAATGCAACTTAGCCAGTGAAACGGTAGATAGGAGTATATGAGGCCTGTTGCCCCTGGTTACTTGCTTTTGGGGCATATTCCCCTCTGCCACTTTTGTGGCCTTTGACCATGGGGATTTATAAAAACTGGGAGCTGAAGGCCAAGGCTTCTAACAAACACCGTACTGTCCTAAGATCGGCTGTTTTAGGCCACTTGGTTAACAGAAAACACAAACTTTGGTTGAATTTGCTTGATCTCATTTAAGTGCAGTTTATTTTGGTTATGAAACAGTGCTTTATTGGAGAATGAAATCCTGTATTCTGAATTTAGTTGGGATCCAAACAAACTTGGTTCGTCTTGTTGATTGATACATGCTTATAATAATCAGTGTGCTGTTTGATACAACGCATGGACACTTTAGAATACACTATTGTGGACATTTCTACATTGTTCTGTATCTTGAATTCTCAAGTCTTCCTGCCACAAAATTATTAAGATTATCTATTTCATATTACCTGCAGGTGGAGATTTACGTTTTCTCTTTATATATTCACTTATGGAACCCGGATCTTAAAAAAGGTAAGATGCTTTGTCTTTTGGACTAAATCAAATTATTTCATGAGTGTTGACAATAACAGCCTTATGAATACTTATAAAGGAATTTTATGGTTAGATGGCTTAGACATTGGTATTTGAACATAGATCTTTTTAGTATTTATATTTTATGCTGTTTTACTATTCTAGGGGAAATCTAAGCAAGGTTTTACTAACCTTGCTCATCCGTGTATGATATGCCATATGACGAATGAACGAATGAGGAATTTAATTTTGGAAACATTTGGAAAAGCCACTGTGAATAGAGTTGGATCAAATAGTACACACTTGAGATAGAAGGAAGCATGAGTAAGAAACTCAAAATAATCTTGTCCTGATTTTGCTTAGTATAAGATGAGACAGAGAAAAACTAATAGACTTTAAAAACTTGGTCATACCCTACCAAAATAAAACAGTATTCCTGGAATCCCTGTGCTGCCTGTTTCTTGATCTGGCCTGTCTTGAAAGGCTGATATAAAACTTGAAAGCCTGTCCAAGTATCTCTCTGTCTTATCTTATAATAAACAAAAAGCAGGGCAGGATTATTTCTTTCTCACACTTCCTTCTATATCTGTGCAATGCACTATCTTATACTAATCTGCACTATACAGTGCATTCAGAAAGTATTCAGACCCCCTTCACTTTTGTCAATTTTGTTATGCTGCAGTCTGATTCTACAGTTGTTGAAATTCTTTCCCCCCCTCATTTATCTGCACTCATAATGACAAAGTGAAAACAGATTTTCCCCCCAAGATTATCTATACATTCTTTTACAATATAGATATGGCTGATTTTGAACAATCACTTTGAGTAAATGACTCAATAATTGCAGATGTTTTCAGTAAAGGTTTTCAAGTAGCCATATGCCATGGAAATACTTTTACAGTTTCCTCTTCTTTCTTTTCTGAAATAAAATATGTATCATTTTCCCAAATTATAAAAAAATGGTCCAATCTAGTGATTCTTTGAATGCAGAACCTTTTTTAAATACATACATGATACTTTCATTCCTTTTGCCGGCCTTAGCTGACCTTTAAACCTTTTAAGTTGGTTTAATGAATGTTACCTACTGAGTGGCCTGAATTTTGGAAGACTTGTCTTAAGACTGACATACCTTTGGAAGACCAACATACTTTGTCAAAAATACATCTAATTTAGATTAGAAATGTGGTATTGAAATGTTGTAAGGCACTGCTAGAGAACTTATGTAAAAATTGGGGAAGATCTTCGAGGGGATCAATATTAGCCTCCTTACATCATCAACATGAAATAAAATGTGTAGAAATTCAAAGACAGAGAGATAATAATAAGCACCAATTCTCTACTTTACTCTTTAAAAAGTAGATAAAAAGCCCTTCCTGAACACACTTCTGTTAATTTATTAGCTTGCTTGGCTAAAAATAAATAACTAAAAGATGGACAGAATTTTTTAAAGTAACAACATCCAGTAGTAAGACCTAAAGACAATGTTTCCTGAACTCTAGGAGATTCCTAATCTGGAGACTGTTGCTATCATGTTTGCATGAAGTCGTTAGCTAAAAAAACATTTTTTCTTTAATAATATGATTCAGAATTTTTAGATTGGCTATAAATATAGATTGGTCAATTGGTTCATTTTTAAACTATTTTTATATATGCAAAAGATTGTACCATTTTGCTCTGTGAAGTATGATTTCAACTTGAATTTCTCAATCTTACATTGGTTGTGTTCTTTCAAAGAAGTAACTGCATTTCTTTACATGCTCCAACTTAATATGGCTAATTTAATAATTGCTCATTTAGTACATTATATACATTTCAGGAACCCCTAGTTTTTTCATATATGGCCAGACAAATGTATTTTAAGAGAGCTCAGCATCTCTCTTTAAATTGTTTTATTTATAAATCTTTATTGATTAGCCCTTGGGCCATATCAAAGTGCAAAGTTCCCAGCAACAAATCATTACCAAAGTAAATTGTTTTATTTGCTTTTTCATTTTGATTTATGTAATTGAATTTTCCCATGAAAATCCCCAGGTACCCCCTGTAACTTTGCAATATTTTATAACTTGCAATTAATGTTGCAAAATATTCCTTTTTTCTTAAACATATCTTTATTCAAAGTAGGATTTAGGGACCATGTCAGATTAGATAGATAACTAGATAAGAATTATGACACTAAGCATTTATACATCTTTCTAAACAATCCCCAAAATATAATGGTAAATGCAAAGGCAGATTTCACTACAGATTTTCTGGAGTGAAAAAAAGTGTTCTATTCCTTGTAAAAAGATGTTGTTATAATTAACCTACCCTTCATTACTCGGAATAATAATAATAGTAAAGTTGGAAGGGACCTTGAAGGTCATCTAGTCCAACCCCCTGCTCAGGCAGGAAACCCTATACTATTTCGGACAAATGGCTGTCCAGTCTCTTCTTAAAAACTTCCAGTGTTGGAGCATTCACAGCTTCTGGAGGCAGGTTGTTCCACTGGTTAATTGTTCTAACTGTCAGGAAGTTTCTCCTTAGTTCTAGATTGCTTCTCTCCTTGATTAGTTTCCACCCGTTGCTTCTTGCCCTGCCTCCAGGCGCTTTGGAAAATAGCTTGACTCCCTCTCCTTTGTGGCAGCCCCTGAGATATTGGAACACTGCTATCATGTCCCCCCTCATACTTCTCTTCATTAAACTAGACATACCCAATTCCAGCAGCCGTTCCTTATATGCTTTAGCCTCCAGTCCCCTAATCATCTTTGTTGCTCTTCTCTGTACTCTTTCTAGAGTCTCAACATCTTTTTTACATCGTGGTGACCAAAACTGGATGCAGTATTCCAAGTGTGGCCTTACCAAGGCACTGTAAAGTGGTATTAACACTTCACATGATCTTGATTCTATCCCTCTGTTAATGCAGCCTAGCACTGTGTTGGCCTTTTTGGCAGCTTCAGCACACTGCTGGCTCATAGTTAGGTGATTGTCCACTAGGACTCCGAGGTCCCTCTCACAGTTACTACTATTGAACAAGGTGCCACCTATGCTGTACTTGTGCATTTGGTTTTTCTTGACTAAATGTAGAACCTTGCTTTTTTCACCATTGAATTTCATTTTGTTAGATAGTGCCCAGTGTTCAAGTCTGTCCAGATCCTTCTGTATCTTAAGCCTGTCTTCTGGAGTGTTGGCTATTCCTGCCAGCTTGGTGTCGTCTGCAAATTTGATGAGTTCCCCATCTATCCCCTCGTCCAAATCGTTGATGAAGATGTTGAA